TATTTCCTCAGGAAACTTAGCTCAGTATATGGATTATTAGCTATTCTACTTGTGTGATATTTGTTATGACAACCACAGAAGACATATTTGGAGCAGTTTAAAAAACATATACCTTTTACATTTAAATTTTTTCATAAAATGTTCACATTAGTTTGTGGTGTTTTCATGTCTAAATTTATTGACTTCATATTCAAACATAAACAAGAAGTAAATCCTTTTTTAATAGTTGTCTGTGCTGTGAATGCCCTTGCCCACCATGTGCTTAACAAGGACCTCAGGGACATTGTTGGTGACTTCAGAGGCTTCTACAGGCAGCTCACAAGTGATGGGCAGCTCAGATGGGTAAGGGACCTATTTTATAAAATGCTTTTATAAGTAGTATCACTAAGGTCTAAGATGTCCATTGATAGCAACAAATGTGAAAATAGAGATGGGTATACAATTTTGAAGTAAAACATTTTATACAGATAAATGAGAGCTTGAGCGATTTAGATCATCAGTGTTTTAAGCTGATCAACTCCTGTCTGTAAGACTTGAATCTGATGTATTTGGATCCTGAGAGCTATCTCTGCTCGTAAGAACCTCATCTCCCACTCCCTAAATTGGAAAACATGGTCTAGTGGATAATACTGAATGGACAGCCTGGTTTTGAGAGATAATGTGAGTAGAACTGGAGATGTGAGGGGAGGTTGTTAGGGAGAGAACATAAGAGAAAAGCAAAGTTAAAAAGCCCACAGCACCTGTTATGTGTATAGGTTGGCATTTGAACTGTCAGTTCAAGGCATGAAAACGTGAGGTTCTAGAGAAAAGATTCTAACACAGTAAGATAACTCTAATAACCTGGACTTTGCCTTTGTCTCATGATACCAGGTTTATCTTTTCCTAACTCTGCTTGGCCGCCCATCCACGCACAGAGAAGGGCGCAGGTGAATGCACTTTCCATATTGCCTTAGATTTCATTTTTGACTTTCTGCAAAGCAAGTTAAATTGGCCTTGAGAGGTGTCACCTTGAAGAAGTTCTTACTAGCTGAATCTGGGACAATTCAAGTATTAAAATAAATAATAGCTTAGAACCTATTGAATAAAATAAGAATTCACAAGTACATTCAGATAATAAACAAGAAGGGAAAGCTCATCATTATAGTAGAATTCAAACTAATAAATATAAGGGAAATGATAACATTAGAAAATCATATTGCAGCCAGCACAGCTATAATTAATTGAGGCAGGAGTCATCAATGGATGCTCAAATTTGGGGGCAATAGTCACTTCTTAGAAAAGGAAATGGTAACTTCACAGTGGAGACAGCAAATGGACCCAAGTGGTAAAAGTTAATAACTGTAATAATATTAATAAAACAGTGGCATCATCACTTATGTAGTATTTATGCCAAAAAGTGCATAACCTGAATCTAATCATGAAGGAAGTCCAGACCAGCCCAAATGGAAGGATGCCCTACAGTCAACTGCCTATACTCTTTAGAAACGTCGATAACATTAAAGAAGAAGAAAAATTGTTCTAGGTAAAAAGACTAAAGTGACATGACAACTCAATGCAATATGTGACCCTGGGGGGGGATACAGATTAGGGTGAAATAAAGTATATTGTTGGGAAAATTAGCAACATTTGATTATGGACCGCCTTCTACATGGTGGCGCTCTGTCAATGTCGTGTTCCCTGAATGCCGTCATTGTGCTATGGGTGTGTAAGAGGATGTCCTCATTTTTAGGAACTACACACTGAAGCATTTGGGGTTAAAAGAGCATGATATTGCAACTTTACTTTCAAATGGTTCAGAAAAAAGAAGTATATATATATATATGGGTGTATATGTAAATAGAGGAAAAGACAGGAGTTTTTCCTGCTAGTTTTGCTACTCTTGTATAGGTTAGAAACCGGTTTTTAAAAACCTTAACCTTTAGGTGAGTTAATTTTTGACATGTGTCCCTGGCTAGAAGACCTAACTATCTTTTCCATTTCTAAGTGCTGTTGCGCTTTGCTTCCCAACCAGATTGGTCCAGAGAAAGGCGTGGTGCATCTGGCAACGGCGGCCGTTCTCAATGCAGTGTGGGACCTGTGGGCCAAGCAGGAGGGAAAGGTGACTCATCTACAACCACCCCTGTGGCTGGGGAGCAGCAGGCGCTGACTTTCTCTATCACCAGCCATCTAGAAAGACAAACACACGGCAGGCCCCAAATGGAAATAGAATTGCTTTGATTTTTTCTCCCTGGAAAGATACTGGCAGTAGTTAGGAAATTGTAGGCCCAGGAGAAAGAGGAGGGACCGTGGAAGGCACAGGCAGCCTTAGAGCAATGGTGGGCAGGCCAGATGTCTGACACCCAGAGTTTGTCACTAGCTCATTTACTGTTAGGAGAACAATGGGTTCTTCACACACACATTTTAAAAATCTTTTTTTTTTTTCTTCAAGCCTCTCTGGAAGTTGCTTGTGGACATGGTAAGTAGAATCTTTAATACTGCAACTGTTTCTGTAAATGAAAGGGATTTCATGGGTTACCTGGCTTTTGATAATCAGTAAATATATTCAGGATTGTCTATTGATCACTGTAGTGGTGATAAACCAAAAAGAACTCAGTAAAATACAACATTACTTTGCTAATATTAGACAGAACGGATGGCTGCGCTCACGCAGGTGGTGCGGTGGGGCGCCTCCCCCGTCTGTAACATGCGATGCAAATTCCCTGAGCCTCTGCCTGCGAACTGTGAAAAGAGAATCGTCATAACTTCTCTAAGAACCTCATAGAATTAAAGACCAAATGAGAAAAGTGCTTCATAAACTCAGGAAAGCAAGATGTTACTATTAAGATATCCGGGTCACGCTGACTCCAAAAGCACGCCCAGACTGTTACAGTCCCTGCCAGACAGTTCCAGCAGGGAAGAGCTTAACACTGAGTTCTAAAGATACGCACTTGGCTGTTTTCTTTCCCCTTGGCCTATTTATAGCAGGACAAGCACCTGGCTGCTGAGGAGGAAAAAACTCAGAGCAAGTTAAAGGGGAGTGAGCTCCAGACCCGGGCAGAGCTGGCTTGAATCTGGGCTTCACGCCTAAGTAGCTGAGTGACCTTGAGCATGTGACTTTCCCACTCTGAGCTTCAGCTGCCTCACCGTGGTACCTTGGATGGTCTCCAAAACCCTGGTCCACAAATGAAGGCCCTTGTTATTAATTGGCAGCAAAATTAAGCAAAAACAAGGAACACCATGGCCTTGAGAACTGTTGGGCTAGTAGAC